GGCAAACGAGATCAAACATCACTATGAATCAAAATGAGAGGCAACTTTGCATATCTACATGGAGCCCAAAGATTGAACGCTTATTCTCCAAAAATTAGTTTTCTCACCCATCTTTGGTGACAGACAGGAGGCATTTTACAAAAGAATCACCATATGGTACAGGACAACCTCACTGCTCCACTCTATAAACCCCAACATTAGCAACCTCTGCTAAAGTTGCCATAAGGAAGATATGACAATGGATCATTTATGGAATCACCAGATGTTCTGGCATTAGGTCATTCTGGAATGGGGTCTCTAAGTTTCTGAAAGGTATTCTTTACTGAGCCCAATAGTATGCTCCCTCTCAGGTACTGTTGGGATGGCCGAACATAACAGATGCTAAATATAGTCAACACCTGTTTGGGTTATTAATTAGAGAAGCCAACTCCTTTATCCCCTTCTACTGGAGGAAAACTGAGATCCCCACTTTGGAACAGTGGATCACCAAGGTTGAAGGAGTGAGAACATTGGAAGAGATATATTGGTCCTACTTGGGGAAAAAGAGAGAAATATCTAAATACATGGAGGCCATTCCTGGACCACTTTACAGGTCACTCCTCAGGGGTTGTGGAGGGAAATAGAGCTTGCCCTTCCAGCAGACTTCAATAGTCACTATGCCCTGTCCATCAGTTGCCACCTTTATACCATCTTGTGACCAATCAGCTTTAGTTTACATTCTTTCCTATGTTTTTATTTATGTTATTTAAGTTATTTTATTTCTTCTAATTTCTTCTATTTTTAAGTTTCACATTGTTCTATATTGTTTTCTTTATTATCTCTATATACTACTGCTATACTTGCATACAATCTTCAACTTGACCAGAATCATAGATGACTTGAAATGTCTATTTTACTAGAAGTTTATATGCATCATTCTTGTCTGTAACTGTAACTGCGCTGATATTTCAATGCTTTATTGCTGCAGACACTTAATGAAACTTATTAAAACAAAAATGTAAAAACAAAAATCTAGTACTCATTTTTTTTGTTTACCTTTATGTCCCAATCCCATATGTGACAGTTCCTCTTTAACTAATATCGATTTTAAATGCTATTTGGTGGCATTAAAGGACCACTATAGTGCCAGGAAAACAAACTCGTTTTCCTTGCACTATAGTGCCCTGAGGGTGCCCCCACCCTCAGGGTCCCACTCCCGCCGGGCTGAAGGGGGAGGAAGGGGGTTAAACACACACCTTTCTCCAGCGCCAGGCTCCCTCGGCGCTGGGGACTCTCCTCCTCCTTCCGACGTCATCTGCTGAGTGCGCATGCACGGCAAGAGCCGAGCGCATTCAGCCAGTCCATAGGAAAGCATTCTCAATGCTTTCCTATGGACGCTGGCGTCTTCACACTGTGAAAAATCACAATGAGAAGTGCGGAAGCGCCTCTAGCGGCTGTCAATGAGACAGCCACTAGAGGCTGGATTAACCCTAATGTAAACATAGCTGTTTCACAGCTGCAGGGTTAACCCTAGAGGGACCTGGCACCCAGACCACTTCATTAAGCTGAAGTGGTCTGGGTGTCTATAGTGGTCCTTTAATTATCTCATATTTCATACTAAGTAAAAAGGAGCCATTACTTTGGTAGCATACATTAAAGGTTTAAAATTATGCATCACTTCTAAAAATGATTATGGTAAAAGATTGCTAAGAATCACTTTTTTTACATCCGGAAGTTTTTAACTGTCAAAAATGCAAACAATATTTAAACAAATAAATGGTCCACTGATGTTTACTTGAGGATACTTCCCATATTGCTGTGCATTTTTTTTGTGAATGGAAACTACAGAAAAACAATTCTCTATTGGTGACCCCATAGCACTAGAAGCCGAAGTAACCTGGAGGTCTTAAGCACAGAATTAGTCTGACTTACAAGAATGTTCAAATGTTAAAAATGTCCATGGTATATTACATGGCAATAACTGAATAACTTAAGTCAGTTTCACTCCCATCAATTAAATACTCTTAAGGTGTAAACAAAAAAAGACTGTTTGCACCTCAGAGTATTTAATTGATGGGGGTAAAAATTATTGAATTAATTTAGATATTGTCATACAACAGCCTGTCCAAATGAGTGCATGGGTCATTATTGACATACAAAACTCAGTTCTTTGTAAACTATATTTTGTAGAGGAACTGTTAATATGGAAGAAGATGAACATTCTAACAGCTAACGATAAACTATTAAAGCAACTCTATCAATCTACTCCAAAGTAAATAAAGTAGGGGCTATTTTTCCTACACTTGACAAATCTTGAGAAAAAGGCAGACCTACACTGTCAAGCTCCGGCAGGCCCTTAGACGTCACTAGTGATGGATGAGGGGAAGAAAGGTCTGTCTATGTAGGATCGCCCACTCTTGAGGGATTCTCCATTGACGACAGTGTTGTACTCTCACCATTGGCACTCGCGGCCACCTCAATGCAAGCGGCAAAGTCTCCAGCAAGGGTCTTTGCAAAATGTGCAAAGACCCCCAGAAGGTGATGGAGCTGCTTTAACATAAAATAGCTCCTAAAAAAATATTTTTGTCCCATTAACGTGAATCCATGCTGTAAATTAAGAGAAAATGTATGCACGCCACTCAACAGCTTAAGGCAGAGATATGGCGACAATAACAGCCTGGAAGCACAGCGGACGTAAGCTTGTTTCTACTTTTCTCTGTTGCATACACATCATACCATATTAAATTATTCATTGGCATTTATTTGGGTGGATTAACGAGGAACCAACAAAACAAAAGGGAAAGCTGTATTTTAAGAGATTTTCTGAAGACTTGTTGAGTCTATGATGTTCAAGGAGTGGATTTTGATAGCCCTGTAATAGGGTATATTCGCCAAACAGACCTTATTAACCACAATGTGATTAATCAAATGAATAGCTGTTAATGGAGATAAATTACATAAGAAAATGCTACACAGATAATACGCATATCATTATCCACTTCTTTTTGTATCTATAGATTTATATATAATTTTCGTGGTAAAACTGTAGTTATACTTTGCAGTTGTGATATACATATCTAATACTCTGCTCTATAAAACAGATTATAAAAATGTATTACAATATTAAATGTGGCCTCATGCTTACAGAAAAGTGCGTTGCTGAAAGTAAATAAAATGGTCTCAAATTAAAGTAATTATGCCTGAAGTTGTTCTCATAATCTCTTTGTGAGCAGTACACACGGGACATATGTGCATAACATCCCCCTACCATCTTATTTCTATACTAGCTCGGCAGACAATTAAGAAGAATGGTAATATTACATTCAAATAGTCCGAGATATTAAATCATACTAAATAATGAACTGCCCTTAAGGTAACTGTGGTTACGGTGGTTATTAAATGAATAAAATAAAAAATGTGAAAAGAACGCAAATCGAACTAACATGGAATAGAGCCCATTTTTAAATTCTTCCAAGTTCATAAAAAAAAAGTATATTTAACCATTGAGGTACATGTGGGTATAGGTCTTTCATGAAAGCAATGATTTGCTTACCCTGTTCTCAAAGGGTTAAGATACTTTTCTTTGCGCATGGTTTGTGGCACTTCTGTGAGTTTAGAAATAAAAACCAAAAAACACAAAAAACACAAGACTACTTGACTATTTTCTATTAGTATGTTAGCGCTAAAGGATTTATCTGGGACCACAAATATAAACAGATAGGGAAGGCTTTTGAGATGTTCAGAAACTGGAATACAAATCCTTCTAGCAGGATATCTGATGGCTGTATTTTGTAATGTCAGATAATCACAAAGATCGTAGCTTTGTAACTGTATTCTTTCAAACCCTGCTTTCTTATTCCACAAGCAAAAGAGATTGTCTTCATTATCTTGTCCGTGTGACAGTAACGCATGTCACATAACAATTTGTGGCTCTACCATACCTCTGTGAAAAGGTGAATTTGTTTAATGCATTCATTGTTAAATTACCTTATTTGAAAGTGCTTTTCAACGCCATCCATTAAGATGAGAAATACATTGTTTTCATGTTGTGATGCATTTCAAGATTTCTGACGTCTAGCCCCCCTTGGTTCTCAACAGACAAATTATACCCATAAAAGCTTGTTCCTTACTGTGAAATCACTTGTCAAAAGAGACCAACTTACTTTGTATACATAAAGTGCTACCTCTCTATATGCATATGCACATATATCATACATACACATACAATGTATTTTAAATGCAACACTCTAGCCTAGTGAAAAATATTTGTTGCATCCAACGACACAGAAAACCGTCCTATTATATATATTCATTCTTGCCAGGCTTTTGTCCAAATACAGAAAATAAAAAAATATGCATAAAAGATTATTTTCAACCATACAAATGTTCTGTCAATCATCAGTTATCACATCCAGTAATTTGGATAATTGCAATTCATTTCATGTTTTGCAAACACAAGCAAAATTAACACTAAATATATCTCCTTATCTCCTGTAGGCATATAATGGTCATAGAAGTCTATGAAATGCGTCAGAGAGTATTACATTCAGAATATCTATATATATATATAAATGTTAACTCACTAGTTGCCTCTATCTTAATTGTTGTTCACAGTTCAATATTACATTCAGAAGAACAGCATAATGTAATGTAAGAGTTAAAAAGAAAGCAAACAAACAAAACAGAAATTAAACTTGTTACTTATTTGAACTTTATCAAACAACATTGGTTTGATTTGGCTGGGAATCTGTGCTTCTCTCAGATTACATAAGGACATATGAATTGTTTTTCCTTATCACCGAAATATAGCTTATATATTATGAGATTACAATGAGTAATAATGTTTTGGCAGTATTAAAGGCAGTATACGCAGGCATGCCATAAATAACTTAGGAGAAAACATGTTTTTTTTTTAGTTAATACCAAAAAAGAAAAAAACTTGGCCTTCCACTGCTGTGACTTCATGTCTCCTGGCACCTCGTGGACTTGATTATACTCATCTTTATGCTCTATATTTCCGATTAAACTCTTTCAACCCTGGCTGGATCATAGGCATCTGGAACACACAACGAGAAGGAAAGTTACAGAAAATAATCTTAATTTAAATGCAGCAATACTACTGGAGTGAACACCCTGCTCTTAGCATTTGAGAATGAGTGTGGAAGACGGACAACTCTAGGTCAATTTTCGGTCTTACTGCTCAACTGGATCTTACTTTGATCTAGTTTGACACTTCGTGGAATCTGACCTTTTCCGCTCTCTTAGAATCCCTTGTGCAATTATTATTATTATTTTATTATTTATATAGCGCCATCAGATTCCGTAGCGCTGTACAATGGGTGAACTAACAGACATGTAATTGTAGCCAGACAATTGGACATACAGGAATAGAGAGGTGGAGGGCCCTGCTCAATGAGCTTACATTCTAGATAGAATATGGTCTTTTAAACTTTCTGATTAGTTTCTAACGACTCCTTAGGACTTGTCACTTCTTCCAATCTTTTCCTCCTTGCTCCTAACATCAGGATTGTGGAACAGAGTCTCCAATTTTTTATTTTTTTTTTAAATCTTTTGTATGTTTACAGATTAGCAATTCTGATGTGTAGGGATGAGGCGACTGGTGCATGATACATGACAAAAGTCTATCACTGCATGTGGAAAGGTATGTACACTTAAAGGGATGCTATAGTCACCAGAACAACTACAGTTTATAGTATAGTGACACAAAGGGTATAAGTAGGGGTAATGAAATAGGTTGCTAGAAAAGTAATCGCTGAGAACTTATTTCTCGGTGGGACATATTTGTGTATTAGGGAGGATAGGTGGGTTGGAGCAGCATTATGTAGGGACTTGTAAGCAAGCACCAGAATCTTAAATTGAGCCCTATATCTAACTGAAAGCCAATGTAGCGACTGACAGAGCGGGGAGGCGTGGGAAGTGCGGGCGGACAGGAAAATGAGTCTCGTCACCGAATTCATTATAAATTGCAGTGATGCAATCTAGGAACACGTGAGACCACTCAGAAGGGGATTGCAGTAGTCAAGGCAAGAAAGAACAACGGCATGGACCAGCACCTTAGCTGCATCTGGTATTAAATAGGGGCGGATGCGAGCTATGTTTTTGAGATGGAAGCGGCAGGATTTGGTGATCGACTGAACATGAGGGGTGAAGGAGAGATCGGAGTCAAAGAGAAGACCTAGGCAGCGGACCTGCGAGGTAGAGGTGATTGTGGCACCGTTGACTTGGAGGGAGACACAGGAGTAGCAACACTTGAGGGAGGAAAGACCATAAGTTCTGTTTTGGACAGGTTGAGTTTAAGAAGGTGAGCAGCCATCCAGTTGGAAATCGCGGAGAGGCAGTCAGAGACACGAATCAAGATGGGCAGGGAGAGATCAGGAGAGGACAGGTAGATTTGTGTGTCATCTGCATATAAATGATAATGGAAGCCAAAGGAGCTGATGAGTTTACCAAGGGAGGCAGTGTAGACTGAGAACAATAGGGGACAAAGGACAGAACCTTGGGGAACGTCAACAGTGAGGGGTTGTGGAGAAGAGGCATAGCCAGAGAAATTACCACTGAAAAAGTGCTGGGAGAGGTAGGAGGAGCACCAGGAGAGAACAGTATCTTGTAGACTGAGATTACGGACAATGAGAAGAAGCTGTTGATGATCAACAGTGTCAAAGGCAGCAGAAAGATCAAGGAGAATTAGGATAGAGTAATGGCCACGAGATTTAGCAGAGATTAAATCATTGGATACTTTGGTCACAGCTGTTTCAACAGAGTGACGAGCGTGGAATCCAGACTGAAGTGGGTCAAGCAGAGAGTTGGATTCGAGGAAGTCTGTCAATCTCGCATACACAACTCTCTCAAGGATCTTGGAGGCAAATAGTAGTAGCAATATAGATCGGTAGTTGAATGGGGAGTTGGGCTTAAGGTTGGGCTTTATCAGTATCAGCGTTATAGTTGCATGCTTGAAGGGTGAAGGAAATGTGCCGGAGGAAAGGGAGAGATTGAAAATGTTAGTGAGAGGAAGAGCAAAAGAGGGAGACAGAGTGTGGATGAGATATGAGGGAATAGGATTGAGGGAACAGGTGGTGGGGCAGGAGGACCTGAGCAGAGCAGAAACCTCCTCCATTGTAGTAGGTGCGAATGAGCATAGAACAGTGGAGGGAGTGTGATTGGGTGATGTATTGGAAGGAGAGGGAGAGAGGTTAGAGATCTCTTCCCTGATTGTAGTTGGAGCTATACAAATGATAATAATTACAAACTTAAAAGTGGTATAAAAAAAAAAAAGTCGGGGGGCGGGGCCTGACCAGCATGGCGACTAGATGTGTGTATGGGGAGCTCCCTGAGACACACTGTACAAAATGGACAATCAGTCTTAATATAGCAAATACTTTTCAACCTGATACTTACCCTTCGCACCACGACGTGACCAAGGGATCAGAGACCAAGCCAAGCGGTTCTCCCAAGCACTCCAGTGGCCAAAGCAAAATACGGCCTAGCAGGCGCCTCGAAGGGGAGAGGCGGCCGCTCTCCTGTACGGGCGCAGTCATGGCCCCAAGCGTGATAGAAATGCCCTGCTACCCCCCCCTTTGGACCGGTGGGGGTGATCCCGGTCCTCACCCTGATGGCTGCCAACAACCAGCAGGCAATCGTTGTATCATACTACACGATTGAAGAAACAGCCATAGAGGCCAGTAAAATGGCGGACGCCACGAGACACCTAGAGCTGCATGAAGAGGCATCCACTCTCCACCACCGCCTGGAAGCCCTCTTCGATGCTTTCTGGGAAAAACTGGAGAGAAAGATGACCCTACCTGCTCCACAGCCCGGTGTGACACCCTCTAACCTTACCAGATGCACCCCACGATGTAAGGCTTCTGTCATCAAGGTCCCAGCAAGACGGAGAAGGCAAAGGGCGCAGCGGCGACGCATTAGGAAAGCAACCCCGAACACAGCGGAATGTGGACGAACCCGGCAGCTATATACCATCAGGAGACACAGGAGGGAGGTTAATCTGAAGGAAGAGAGATGGGGGAAGCAACTGCAGACCCAGGACCCGCTGCAATGGCTCCGAAGAAGGAAGCACATACCACGTGGGACTGTGAATTCCCTGTACAGGGGATAGGCTGACCGCCATGCTAGAGCTGCAGGTTATACCCCTTCCCACTGTTTTTACCATGCTCCCTCTTGCTCATGAACAGACCTACACTATTTTACTTACTCAGCCTTGCCAAAGCCATATGTTTATTCCTATACTAAGTTTTGAAGCAGGAATGGCATTCACATAAGTGGCAGGTCATTAAGGATGTCCTTAATATGTCTCAGTACAGCCTGGGGTGGTATACTAATTGTGTGGGCAAAGATGCAAGCTACCTGTGTTGTTCCATATCTTACCCCGTTTGAATTCATACCCAAAGGAATCTTCACACAAGCTAGATATAGTTACTCATAGGCTCTGCATGTTTATCTTTATTTACTTCTAGGTTACTCTACAGGCACTTAGCATGTCTATGTTACCACACTGCTCATATTCTAGTACGCATATCTACTTATAAAAAATGTGCAGCTTAAACCCGTCATGACAATGTTTACTTTGCTATACCTGTGACTGCTGTCGTGGCATAACAGGCATGTTTGTAACCTATAATGCACAACAAAAATAAAGAATAAAAAAAAAAAGTCAAACTTGGGGGCTGGGCCTGACTGCCAGCCAGTTGAATTCTCACCAGAAATAACGGGCACGTATACTTTTGGGGACACCCTTTATGCCTTCAAGCTCTTTGTTCAAGATATTTTCGAGTATTTGGAGCAGATTGCTTCAGGAGAGATCTCGAGGCCTCGAGTGAGGAAGAAGAGGCTGATCTCCAAACTCGTATTCATCGTGAAGCTGGAGGACGCTAGCACAGATGGGGGTTGGGGGGGTGGGTGGGTTTAAGAATCTCAATTTACCCAGCCACTGCTGATACCCCTAAAGCCCGTAAAGCATAATCCACAAACATGGGGTTTTTACAGCTGATATCATCTAGTAGATGTTTCCTTTCGAGATACTGATCTACAGATCTAGGTGTCAGAAGTGTCCCTGAAGGTAATTTAGTGTAAACAATGCATTGTTTGTTTACATTGCTCCCTAGGGGCACCTCTAATGGCCAGCACTGGCGTTCAGCACCTTCACGCTATGCATGGAGGCACTGAATGTTCCTTATAGAGATACATTGACTCAATGCATCTCTATGAAGAGATGCTGATTGGCATAGCGCTGCATTTTGCACATGTGCATTAGCCTCCAATGGGAAAGCATTGGATTGACTTAGATCATCAGGATTGATTATCTCACCCAAGGAGACGGAGCATGGGTGGAGCCAGCCGCAACAGGTCCCATATGGCGCTGGAATAGTGTAAATAAACTACCTATTTCATGGGGGTGGAGAGAGGGAGAGGGTGGAGGTTTAAAGCTATATGTTTAAAGGTAAGCTATCTACTTAATCTTATAGAGGTCTTTAACCCCTTAAGGACACATGACATGTGTGACATGTCATGATTCCCTTTTATTCCAGAAGTTTGGTCCTTAAGGGATTAAACCAAAAATTAGGAATTTCTAGCTATGTGTTAGTGATATTTATAACTTTTATGTATGTGTGCGAGTTAATATGACTGTTACTTATACTTTTGATTTAACATTCCTACAACACGTTTCATCAATGTTTAAATACTACTGTTGCCGATATTGAATGGTAGACAAGAATTGCATTATCTTAGCATTGTTTCCACTACCGCTGACATTGCTGTCAGTCAAACCTTCAAAAATAATATAACATGGCTAAAGATAGTTATATTTCTCTTACCAGCAAAAGACAAATCCAAAGTATCTCTGCTTTTTGTTATTAGAAGACTTTCATCAAGTGATATAACCCGTTTGTAAATTGCACCAGCGGAAAATTTGCGTGCTCCTGTTTCTTGTACTCTGTACAATTGCTTTTCATCATCTACTTCATCTCCTGAATCTGTGCTTTTAATGCTCAATCGTCTCATACGAGAAACTGAGTCAACTTCTTTCATGCGGGCCAAACGATCAACGGCAGTGCGTACAGGTGTGGACGCAAGCTTTCCTTGTAAGGTTTCAATCATCTTTGATGTGTTCCTGACTCTTTTTTCAGCATTACGGGACACATTCAGCTCACCGTGCAGAGAGTTGGACAGTGGTGACACCTGACCTTGTTCAAAGTTCATTAGCTTTTGTCCAGGTCTCTCTGTATCTGTAGGTGAATGGTGAAAATTACTAAAAACCCCAGATGTTTCCTTCATAGAAAAAGAAACTTCACAAAATTTATCTTTTGTCTTCTCCTCCAGTTGACCTCTCCCATTGGAAGTCAAATTTTCTGGACTTTGAGCTTCTGAACACCCAGGAGACACCAAAGTATCTCCTGCTACATCAATTCCTAAAATTCTGGCAGCTCGTTCATAAAGTGATTCGTTCTCGGGAATGTCTGAATCATTGTTCACTTCGTATAACTCTTCATTATGGTTTGCGTCGTCAGCTTGTTTTGTTAAATCAGGAACAGATTGCCCATGATTCCGGTCTTCTTGTGAAAGCTTTTTCATTGTATCACTAACTTCACCAAATTTTGTAGAGGTCATTTTAATAACATCCACAGCTGGACGCTCAAAATACTTTTTATCTTCTCTAAAGTAATATGAATTAACTACGGGAGCACATTGACTTTTATCATTGTGTACTTGACTTGAGTGTGTATGAATTTTTAATTTAATGTGGTGCACATTGGGTGTAACAGAATGACTTATGCCGGTGGCATTTTCAGTTCTTTTGCTTTGGACCTGTACTTCTTTTGTCACACATTCATCTAGTAATTTTCCAGACTTACTTTTGATGTTTTTTATTTTGGCACATTTTTGTAATTTATCTCCATCTTTATTGTCATGTATTAACTTTTCTGTGCACCAGCTTTCTGATTTACGTTTCTCTTGCAACTGCTCAAATGCTGGAATCTCTTGTATTTTTAGCACGTGCTGATGGCTACTCGCCATTTCGTTCTCAGTGGCATTTTTTGTTGTACAGATTTCCATTGGGACTTCCTTAGTTTCATCCTTTGCAACATTCTTTTCACCCTCGTTAGCACGTTCCTGTTCTTGGAACTCTTTATTCAAACTTTCCAATTCACTTATTGCATCCCAGGGACGACGATTGACCGGTTTCAAAAGAAACTGACCGAAAACCTCTTTTTTATTGCAAAAATGTCCTTCCTCAATCTCATTCTTTTCACATTTACCAACTGCTAGTTTTTCTTTTCCGTTTGCGTTCTCATTTGACAACTCCAGCCTTTGGCATGGTTCTGCTTTAGTTAAATGTGTCATTAATGAGGATGTCCTTGAAAATGCACTGTTGCTAGAAGGACTAAGACTCATCTGGCCTTTCATACTGTACATATTGTGCCTGACATTTTCTGGAGCTAGTATTAACTCAGCTGGACCACAGTTGGACGCCGAACATTTTGTGTGCTGTTCGTTAGATTTTGAACCATCACAAAATGTTGAATTTTGTATATCTGTAAACACAGTTTGGGTTTGCTGATCTTTGTACTGGTCACCTGGCCAGGAACCAGAATATGCAAGTTCTCGATGTTTCCTCTGCTCAACTGATGTGAGGTCATTTGCCTGTTTGTTTTCCTCTGTTTTGGACTGTGCTTGCTTTAGTAGCTCAGAATTATTGTTCATACTTCCTGTAAGTGTTTGTAGCTCCAAGTCACTGGAAGATGTACTTAAAAGCATTTGCTCGGGCAGACCCCCACTGCTGTGTTTTAGCATGTTCATCCTGTCTGTAGCGTCTGCTAAACCTTTGTTATTCTTACTAATTTCTGACGAGGCCGAATCAGATTTTACTGGAATAGACACCAAGCAAAATATTGTTTCATTTAGCCTTCTCTTCGAATTTCTTTTGCTCCGAAGATATGTGTCAGGCCCAAACTTTTTAACTTTAGTTACAGTTTCACAAGCACTGTCGGAGTGGGTCTTTTTTAGTGATAGCTTGTGAGTAGGTTCATGGTCATCAGGTAAACTGCATGCTGTAGACCCATCTCTATATTCTGGCAATGGATAACGCATTTGATCTGGAATCGAGACGTGTAACCATTGCTTGTGCTTGATACCTTCTCTTTTCACGTAATTGTTCCCACCATTTTTGGATTTGGTAAAGGCACTGACTCTCTCTCTCTTTTGGACATTACTTTCCTGATTTTTAGATTCCTTCATTTCAATGCGCTTTTTACTATGGTCCTGCTTTTCTTTGTCACGTGGCACTGCAATATGCTTTATACAAGGGTCATCAAAAGAAATATACTGTATGCACTCTTTACAGTTGTCACCATGTCCGTGGTTGACTTGTTTGTCGTAAGGAACATTATTTCCTGGGAAACTAGTAAGTGCTTTATTACTTGTGCTGGTTTTCTCCACCGGGTAAATTTGGTGACAACAGTCTCCAACTTTAGGCACTTTAATAAAAGACTGATTAGTAGCATTTTGAAGAGGAGGAGACTTGTAAGATGGCGGTGGTATATAAATAGGTGGCTCAAGGCATGTCTCTTGAAAACAAGGTTCTAGGGAAGATTCTACTTTGCCAGAAAACAAAAGCTGTTCATCTTTTTGACTGTCTGGACTTTCACTAGATTCAACAGCACCCCAGGTTTGCTGGTGAAGTTCATATGACGGAGGCTTTGATGGTCGACTATATTTCGGCTTTGAAAATGAATTGCGTCTACAATCGTTACTTGCAACATATTTATCCTGTAATTGTGTTATTTCGTGTTTCAACGGAGAATTATCACCTGTAACAGAGGGAATATTCGCAGGCCTTACAATTTCAGGTGAAATAACTTTTGGCAACAACTGTGGTTTTAGCATATTATGACACACAAGTGCTTTGTCTCCATGCGTAGCTGAGATGAATTCTTGTGGTGATTTTTCACTAGTTGCATCTGACCCTTCTCTCCCGGATGCTTTAAAATCTTTTGTAATGTTTTTGTTTGCATGTTCCTGCCTGTCTTCAAGAGGTTGTTTCCAGTGCTTAAAGATCATGTTGTTCCTTCCATTTTCCATGTTTACTACGTTACTGCCGTCAGTGACATTTCTTTCAACAATGCTGCACTCCCGCTTTCCTCCAATATCCGATGTTATTATCTTGTCCACTGCTCCTCCATCCTCTCCTTGTCCTAATAAAACGCTGAAGTCCTGGGCTCTTCTTCTCCAGTACTGGACATCCTTACTGGTCTTTGTCCAACAGGACCGTTCAGGTTGAGGTCTGTCAGGGAACCTACAAAAAACAAACAAACAAAAAATATATAATGTCAAAAAGTAAGGGTTTTTTTTTGTTATTGTGTGCTGTTTTGTGTTTTCCTTTTTTCTTTATGTATGCAAAAAAATAAAATATAAATAAATTAACACTGAAAAAAAAAACTAAGGTTTTTATTTTAGTAGATTTAGTAAAGGACAGATTCTATGAAAGATACTTCTCAAAGGCAGTTTACAAAAATATTAATCTATAGCATGACTGACAAATCATTAGTGAAAGCATTAGTGTCTAAACTTTTGAGAAATGTCCTATGATTGCTTAAATCTTCCTTACCAATTAACCTGTACTTGTTATCAAGCTGCTTGTTCTAATATCAGACATTAAAGGGACACTATAGTTACCAAAATAACTTTAGCTTAATGAAGCAGTTTTGGTGTATAGCTCATGTCTCTGTAGTCTCACTGCTCAATTATCTGCCATTTAGGAGTTAAATCACTTTGTTTATAAACCCTCGCCACACCTCCCTGCATGTGACTTGCACAGCCTTCCTAAACACTTCCTGTAAAGAGTCATCTAACATTTATCCATCCTTCATTACAAGTTCTGTTTAATTTAGATTTTCTTATCCCCTGCAATGTTAATAGCTTGCTAGACCCTGCAAGAGCCTCCTGTATGTGATTAAAGTTCAATTTACAGATAAAGAGATACAATTATTTAAGGTACCGTATATACTCGAGTATAAGTCGACCCGAATATAAGTCGAGGCCCCTAATTTTACCCAAAAAAACTGGGAAAACTTATTGACTCGAGTATATGACTAGGGTGGGAAATGCAGCAGCTACTGGTAAATTTCTAAATAAAATTAGATCCCCCAAAAAATATATTAATTGAATATTTATTTACAGTGTGTGTATATAATGAATGCAGTGTGTGTGTATATAATGAATGCAGTGTGTGTGTGTGTATGAATGCAGTGCGTGTGTGTATATATAATGCAGTGTGTGTGTGTATGAATGCAGTGTGTGTGTGTGTATATAATGCAGTGTGTGTGTGTGTATGAATGCAGTGCGTGTGTGTATATATAATGCAGTGTGTGTGTGTATGAATGCAGTGTGTGCGTGTACATGAATGCAGTGTGTGTGTGTGTGTATGAATGCAGTGTGTGTGTGTATGAATGCAGTGTGTGTGTGTGTGTGTATGAATGCAGTGTGTGTGTATACCCCTAAAGCCCATAAAGCATAATCCACAACCATGGAGTGTTTACAGCTGATATCATCTAGTAGTTGTTTCCTTTCGAGATACCGATCTACAGATCTAGGTGTCAGAAGTGTCCCTGAAGGTATTTTAATGTAAACAATGCATTGTTTGTTTACATTGCTCCCTAGGGACACCTCTAATGGCCAGCACGGAATGTTCCTTATAGAGATGCATTGACTCAATGCATCTCTATGAGGAGATGCTGATTGGCACAGCGCTGCATTTTGCACATGTGCATTAGCCTCCTATGGGAAAGCATTGGATTGACTTAGATCATCAGGATTGATTATCTCACCCAAGGAGACGGAGCATGGGTGGAGCCAGCCGCAACAGGTCTCATATGGCGCTGGAACAGTGTAAATAAACTACTTATTTCATGGCACGGAGGAGAAGGGAGCTGAATGGCACAGAGGAGAAGGGAGCTGACAGGAGCTGCAGGAAAGGTAAGTCACAGCTCTCTGCCAGCCCCCAACAGGACCGCCGGGCTTCTAACTCGAGTATAAGTCGAGTGGGGGTTTTTCAGCACAAAAAATGTGTTGAAAAACACGACTTATACTCAAGTATATACAGTAAATTACATCTGATTGAAAGTGAAACCAGTTTTTTTTCATGCAGGCTCTGTCAATCAGAGCCAGGGGAGGTGTGGCTAGGGCTGCATAAACAGAAACAAAGTGATTTAACTCCTAAATGGCAGTGAATTGAGCAGTGAAACATGAGAGGCATGATCTATACACTAAAACTGCTTCATTAAAGGGACACTCCAGGCCCACTCCCACTACTCTTAACCCTGCAACTGTAATTATTGCAGTTTTTTATAAACTGCAATAATTACCTTGCAGGGTTAACTCCACCTCTAGTGGCTGTCTACTAGACAGCCACTAGAGGGCACTTCCTGCATCATTGCACAGAAAATTTGTGCTAGAGCGTCGCTGGACGTCCTCACGCTGTGTGAGGACCTACAGCATCGCTCATTTCCCCATAGGAAAGCATTGAAAAGCATTTTCAATGCTTTCCTATGCGCATTAGGTCTCCCCGGCCGGTGGGTGGGATCAGTCTCGCCCACCGGCCGACGCAATCAAAGGGAGGAGCGGCGGTGGAGGAAGAAGCAGCAACGTGGGACATGTCGCTGCTTCTGGTAAGTAACTGAAGGGGTTTTCACCCCTTCAGCAACCGGGGATTGGGGGGTGGGAGGGAGAGGGGACCTGCAGTGCCAGGAAAACGGGTTGTTTTCCTGGCACTGGAGTTTCCCTTTAAGCTAAAGTTGTTTAGGTGAGTGTAGTGTTCCTTTAACCCCTTAAGGACACATGACATGTGTGACATGTCATGATTCCTTTTTATTCCAGATATTAGGTCCTTAAGGGGTTAATTAAATTTTGGGAATACTATGTAACAGGCTTTGAGAACTTTTGGTGTATACAGAGCACATGAACTGTGCAGTTTCCACTTGTGATGGCTAATCTTTTGTAGTAAGAATGGCTGGATAAGTCTCATGAGAAAAGTAGTCCACGCCATATGTAAGATAAGACATAAATGGTGCATTGTTATACCATCCCTCTCTACTCACTGCCTTTCCTGCAGATCAAAATAGCAGATCAGAAACATGTATCACTGCTCAGTCAAAATAATAGAAGCAATGTCTACGTTCAATAATTAACATACATATGAAAGTTGAAATGAGTGTGTGTGTGTGTGTGTGTGTGTATCAATCGTTATGAGTATAGTCGAAAATGGAAATCAATCAGCCCTGTAGGCGATATGAAGACTTTGAAATAAAACCAAAAAATAAATAAATCACAAAACATAAAATGCTAGATTGATATCATATAAATCTTGTTTTGCCATAAGTACATAATTCCTCCTTTCACATTTAGTGCACCTACAAATAAAAAATATTTTTTTTTGTGAAGGACTGAAAGTATTTTTTTGTTACACCAGGTGTTAGTCAAATAATTATAAAGTATTTAACCAGGAAAGGTACATTCAGATTGCTCTGGTTTCCTGGTACATTCGGGGGATGTTACTATTACCCAAATTAACAGCACTCATTTTATCTACGCCAGGATTTGAACCTGCAACCCCCAAGGGTTGAACAGATTTTACTGATGATACATTAGATCACTGAGCTATCTCAAATAGGTGTGCATATCTGCACATATTCTCTGACATGTACATTTTCTCTTTTTATATGAGCCGTTCAATGAACTAAAACACATGTAAATCATAAAATGAACAGTTAACTTAGTCATCAGGATTCCTGGCTGAAATATAACACGCATCATCTAAAATTAAAACATTACAGTAAATGTATAATAGAAAGGGTAAAAAAAAATTGTCAAGAGTTTTAAATTATAGCAATCTCATGTAATTCTATTTTAAGAACTCGAGAAAATTATAATTTGTGATTGAGGCTCCTAAATGGCCAGATCATGTGATTGGCACCGACCTGCAAACACTGAGACAGACATATCTTTAGCTGGTCAAACCTTGTAGACGATAAATAAAATAAAATGTAATGAAGCGTTAACTGAGTAAATCTCGGATCTAAACTGTAAGCAACAGAACTTCTAAACCCATCAGAATTATTGAATGTGAAATATTTTTAGCTTTAGTGTCCACAAACGAGCTGTCACCATTTCACATCACATCTCTGCCACTAGCAAAATGACAATGGAGAAAAAAAAATAGGATTTGACATAAATAGGACAGGAACTTGAGCAGACATCAAGAAAAACATTTTCTTCCCAGGTTAAAAGTGCATGATGGGTAAATTTTCCTAAATCATTCCTTTCCATTCTCTAACTTAAAAAATGCACCACTCAATCACCCGTATACAATGCTATTCACAGAAAACACAGGTTCATATACCTGACGATTTTTTATTAAATTCTATAATAATAAATATATATATATTTTTTTTAAATAAAGTTAAAGGAACACTATAGTGTTAGGAATGCAAACATATAATCCTAACAGTATAGTTACCGGTTCAATGTTTACCGGCCCCCTCTAAATGCAAGAAAATGTCAGCTTTACTTACCTTTTTTACATCTCCACGTGGTCTTTAAAAAAAAAAAACACAAGTGACAGTAATGCTAAAATGCCAGGAACTAAAAAATTGCAGATTAATACTTATTCAACATGTAGCTGTCCCTTTAATGGACAACTTTGGCACGTTTTTCTGTCCTTATAGAAATGACTGCATGACTAATATGCCAAGGAAGTTTCAAGTCAAAACTACTGTAAAGAGAGCCATGGAAGAGGCATACATTTTGCATAAGTACTTGTCTCAAGTGAGCAGTGAAATAATATCGTAACGAGGTGCTATGTAAAATCATGTAATACTGCTTAAGCCTAATATCATAAATCCCAAGGGAGGATTTTGTGCTAATGAACTGTAGTGCAGAAGATACATTTTCATTGTGATACTTAAATCTAACAATAATGTACTAGGACTAGTTCAGCTTTTTATAAGTATTAGGCAATGTAACTTTTCTTTCTGTATTAAAGGGACAATGTAGGCATCAAAACAACTTTAGCTTAATGAAGCAGTTTTGGTGTATAGATCATGCCCCTGCAGCCTCACTGCTCAATTCTCTTCAATTTAGTAGTTAAAGGGACACTATAGTCACCAGAACAACTACAGCTTATTGAATTTGTTCTGTTGAGTAGAATCAGTACCTTCAGGCTATTTGCTGTAAACACTGTCTTTTCAGAGAAAATGCAGTTTTTACATTACAGCCTAGTGATAACTTCACTGGCCACTCCTCAGATGGCTGTTAGAGATCCTTCCTGGGTCATGGCTGCCTAAAATGCATCCAAACATTCAGTATCTCCTCCCTCTGCATGCAGACACTGAACTTTCCTCATAGAGATTAATTGATTCAATTCACCTCTATGAGGAGATGCTGATTGGCCAGGGCTGTGTTTGAATCATGCTGGCTCTGCCCCTGATCTGCCTCTTTGTCAGTCTCAGCCAATCCAATGGGGAAGCATTGTGATTGGCTCAGGCTACCACTTCTGATGATGTCAGCAGACTGCTTGTTTTTTTTAGGCAAACAGCATGCAGAGTTACAGCTTCTGGCTTGAATACAGTAAGATTTTGCTATATTTATGGAGGCATGAGGGGCCCAGGGGGGCTAGATGGTGGTTTTAACACTATAGGGTCAGGAATACATGTTAGTGATCCTTGAAATCACTTTGTTTATACAGCCCTTGTCACACCTCTCTCTCTGCATGTGACTTGCACAGCCTTCCTAAGCACTTAATGAAAAAGAACATAGGTTCCTGTATTGCAGAGTCTGTTTAATCAAGAATGTCTAATCTTTTGCTGTGTTAATAGCCTCCTAGACCCTGCAGGAGCCTCCTGTGTGTGTTTAAGTTAAGTTTACAGAGCAGGAGATAAATACGTATAGCAAGTTAAAGTGAGACTCTGGTTACCATAACAACTTAATCAAAATTAAGTTATTATGGTGCAAGGAGGCCCCTGGGCACAATCTTAAGGTAACTTTCCTCCTCGAGGGCATAATGCGCTTATGGTGCTCACTGTGCATATGCATTAGGTCCCTGGGTCGGATGACGTCAGAGGAGGCGGAGTGCCAACCCAGCACCGAGGGAGGTCGGTGCTGGAAGCAGGTGAGTAACCAAGGTTTTTTTTTAAAGCATTTCTATAGTTTAAGGAATGCAGATTTGTATTCTTTACAGTATAAAATTCCTTAAAATATGTGAATTCCACATAAGGGTACCAATTTAAGGAGTTATCAAGTAAACAGATGAATTATTAAATTTAAGAAAAGCTATTTTCTTAAAGAGACTATTTTTAACCCTGTAGCAGAATACATTGCTGTTTTAGGAACATACATTTATTTTTTTATCTACAAAATATAAAAGGACAAAAACCAAATAGGGTAATACGTAAAATCCACTTGGTGAGAGAAATTCAAGGTTAATCTCACAAGTGTATGATAAAATACAGACTCATCTCAAACTGATGATGGTATCAGTGGTAGAGGTTCATCAATTTTCCCAGAGGTACCTTTTCTAGTCTCTTTGTGAGGAGCAGGAGACTTTGGAGTTAAATCAGTGAAGTTGTTATCGAGCCTGGAGTGTTCCTTTAAAACTGTACAAACAGCAGAATGTAAAACTTTGAATATTCACTGGTAACATATTACAGACAACTCAAAAAATTTGGAGTATATGAGATCATGACTGAACTCTGGAAATACTGCTAAGTACATGCGTTCCAAGAACTAAACATTCCAAACTTAAAAGGATCATGTTTTCATGGCATACATGCATGTTAAGTAGTAATCCACTTCTGCACATGCACACAATATCTTAATAAGCACTCACATATGCACAGAGTATTCAGATGCTCCAGTGAATTCAATCTGTGATATGCTCATTTTCTACAAGAAGAAATATTTTGGAACAAAGGTTTGATGGTGAAATTTAAAAACATATTGTGGCGAAACCAACCTCGCCACTGTGAACTGGAGAAGCCTGGTTGCTCGCCTGCTCCCTTTGGACTATGGCCCTGCAGGTTAAACTGTTTATTTCCCCTGCAGAAAGGCTTATTTGTGTGATCTGAGTGCCATTCATCTAATAATGTGCACTCAGATCCCAGCTATCTGGGGATATGTGAAATGTCTGTGTGTTATGTGTAAATGTGACTTTATGTATTTTAAAGTGTTTTGTGTCTTTTGCAACCATGTGCTTAATGGAGTCTTGTGTCTATCCTGGGAGATAATTGAATTACTCTCCAGGATAGAAGACTCTGAAACTGGTTTGGGCCAGAAAGCCATGCTTCATTTAGCCACAAAGGACTTTCCCTTAACTTTTGAACCCCTGGTCTGATTCGTGCCATTTTTTAATATGTTGTTGCCCTGAATGGATTGATTATGAAAATTTATGTTTTATGTTTGTGACATATATATTTTAGAAGTTATAAATATTGTGTAAAAACTGTATTCCTCTGCCGGTGATAATGAGATCACCCATTGTGTTCAGTAATCATATCACCTGCAGAGGGGAGGATTTTGTGTGGGAGTGTCTGGGTGTATTGTACGGATTGATTGGTTGTTTTGTAACGCCCTGTGGGCTGTACTATGTTTGTGGATTGGGAATAAAAGAGACTGTATGTGACAGTACAGGTTGTTCCTGTTTAACCCTCCAAGTGAAGTGTCGTCTCATTCTTGGGGGGAATTTGACTGTATGCCGATTGCCAGGAGTGTAAACTGTTCTTAGGGCTTTTCCTGTTCGGCTGCTTCCAGGGTTCGTGTGTTTCCTGTTCGGGAGTTGGTGAATACGTGCAGTTTGGAGATCGGGAGGTTGGTGATTGCAGTAGCTGCTGGTCTATCTGGAAGGGGATTATCGCCTAAATGGTTTTTATCCCCTTGTGAGCGAAACGGTCCGTTACACATATGTAGTTACATTTAATACACATTAGTCAACCATGGTTCTTTTAAAGTCCATGCAGGACTCCTTTTATGTGCGGTAAAAAGTATTTCAATAATCACTCTAAGCACTATAAGTAATTTGCTTCATTAAAAAAAGTTCCCACTCTCCCAGCTAAGATCGGCTTATAACTGCAGTGATTAGCTACAATTGTAGCAGCTATAAGAATTCCCCCTTGGTCTCAGACAGCTGAGAGACATCTAAGGTGCGCATGTTGCACGAACAACTATACAAGATTTCCACTGCTCAGAGCTCATGAGATTGTGTGACACACTATGGTTTACATAGCTGTAACAGGATCTCTACTGCTGGCTTCCCCTGTATGCACCAGATATCCAACAAACCAATATATCCCGCCCCCCCCCACCACCTCCTCCCAAAAAAATCTAATGACAGTATCCTGCCGGAAGTATGCATATGAAAATGGGGAGACTGAGACCCATAAAGATAGTGATATTATTTTAGCATTCTGTGGCACTTAAGGGAATCCTCCACACACATAATGCACGTCAGCTTGCTTTAAATACCAGGCTTAAAGAGAAGCCTCTGAGTGGCCATATCCTGGCACAGACTTTAGGTCAAAAAGGGCAGGGCTTGCAAAGGCAGCAGACAATAGATCTGCAGCTTTTGCAAGCTAATTTTCGATTGACCCTCAATGAAAAAAATGCATTATTAAATGCATGATTTAATTGATGGTATATCCCACTCATTTATTTTAAAAATACAAAAAAATTGTTTTCTTTTCTGTGTTCTTTTAAATGATTTAAAATTTGCCCAGGAAGGATAAATCCATGGACTCATGACATGCATTCAAAATTATGGCCCTGTGCATAATACAACCAAAAAAATGAGATCTCACTTACTCCTCATTTAGTATGGGGTTTAACAACATCTAAACTGAAATTAGACATTTCAATATCCAATGAAATTAAAGCAGCATACTATCAGTATGCATATTATGCATACATCCACGCTCAAGCACTCTCTCTCTGCATATACATATCACAGGAAGAGATCGAGGTCATATCATTTGCTATACTTTGCTCATAAATTCTGCTACTTTATAAAAATCTGTTGGATCTTTAAAAAAAAAAAAAGTGGAAATACGAAATAGCAGGAATTGTAATATTCTCCCACAATTGAAGGAACCAGGTTCTTCCGCCTTTCAATCAGATAACAGATGGAAAAGTTTGAAACTTTTTAGGAACATATTGTACAAAGGAGTAAGACGCATTACAAACCACACCTGTTTCTTCTTCACCACTTACATCACCTAACAAAGATATCATTGGCAAGCACTTAGTCTGCACCCTGCACCTCCACCAAAAGGAATCCAACAATGCGTTTCTCAAGTGCTCGCTCTAAGTTAATAAGGAGCATTAAAGCTTGTTGTAAAATATCAGTATCATCAACAAAAAATATCATTATTTTAAACATCTGCAGGCTGACGCTTTGGGTAATCCTTCTGGGATACACACTATATTGTGCCTAAATAAAAGGGAAGAAAATATCAAATTTGTCTAGACCAGATAACAACTTTAAAAAGTTTCCAGACAAATCAAGAATATATAAAAAGTGTATATTGATGGGTAAATAAAGTGTAAAATAAAAAAAACATAGATAACTAAACATATAAAACCATCAAAAATATGAAAATTGTAAACCCACCCTCAACCTGACTTGTCTTGTCTAGAAATGAGGACTTAAAGTATAGGACTCTCGTCTTTCCTTCCTGTTTGTTAAACGAGTCTCGTATAAACCAAACATATATAATAAATATGATAGCACACTAATACAAAGAATCAGTTAGGATACTGTTAACACTGTTATATAGGATAGGAAGGATACTAGATAGAGCCCAGAGACCACAAATATTGTGACAATTTAGAGTCATTGGACATAAACCTTAGAGGGTTACTTACGGCCCATGGGCCATCTTTTGGACAAACTCATCCACAAAATGGATAATGAACATATCTTTGTAAAGATGAATGATTAGCATATTTAAATAGAAATTATATAAATGCCTTGATTTTAATTTCAATCGTCGTCTCGGTTATCTTGAATGCTTTGAAATTTAATACAAATAAATAGAGGCTTATCTGGACCCACTGCACAGAGCAACAGGAACTGGTTCTCTTGTCATTGTCAAATGCTTGTTTACATCCTGAATGCTTCCTGTGTTTGTCTTCCTGAAAGGTGTATCTGGATACCCCAGGCCTTTCATTCCAAAACTCACTGTGCTATAAACATGCTTCAGGGGAAAGATAGGAATATACAATAATACAATATCTCATGTTCCACTGTTTTGCTTATTCGAATTGGGAAATTAGAAAGCCACTGGTGCCCCACACCCAAAATTATCTTTTATTTGATTTTCTTAGGATATTTTTTTATTTTCTTGATATATACATATATCAATGTGTATATACAATGTCTTTCCGGAATGTATCCAGCCATGTAATACAAAACGTAGAGACATTGATTGAAGAAGATACAATAAACATTGCACATAGAACAAGGGCGACTCAGTCCCCTTCAAAGAAGGCACCTTGGCACCTTACACAGTTCTCGTCTCCAAGCGTCTCTTCCACTGTTTAAAACACTCTGCAAAATCCTTTGTTGGAATCACCATCAGCTGCCTCGTCGTATTTACCTAAATCTCATCAACGGTCTGAAATCTCTTCAATGTGTGATTTTAGTCTTAGGAAAGGACAGAAGTTGCAGGGCCCCAAAAATTTCAACAGATTCACGACCATCTTTGCATCGTTTGTGCCACACTTTTATTTGCGCTGCACTCATTGCATCATCCCCGGAAGCCTTCTGAATCATCTGAATACTTTCTGAGGAGGAATGTTCAAGCTTAATGCAAAATTTGGTACATATTTGTTGCTCTACTCGCTCGGTCATTTTGAATGTAACAGACACACAATACACATACTCACTCAACAACGTCTAGTGCCCACACTGACTAGTACAATGAAGTCGTCATTCTTCACGCATGCACATTCCAGTCCACTCTCCTTGGCTGCCAGGTTACATCGATGTGCAAACTGTTTTCGTTATATTAACAATGACTGGACTTTTCCCAGACAAACCTCGTCCAAACCTGTGTGTGTGTGAGTGCTGGACATAGTGGCATGTGCTTAATCCTGCACTGAAGGTGAGACTGTATATATATATATATATATATATATATATATATATATATATATATATATACATATACATACACACACACACACACACACACACACAATCTAAATATGCACAATGCAATATTGGTATAATACTGAGCATGAAGGAGTGAAAACATGAATAGTTGTATATGTTTTTTTAATGCTTATAATGATTTGGGCTGCATTATATTTCAGTATTACAATCACAGACCTGTCCCACAAAGCATTACGCACGACTTACAAAGCATTATGGGTTAGACCATTGAGAATTGTGATCTTCAGTGCGGCCTTAGCCAAGATGTGTCACAGTGTATAAGGTAGAAAAAAATATATGCATCATTGTAAAATGCTATTTATAAAGGAAAAATAGGTCATCTTTTTAAAACAGAAATCCCTTTTACGTCATTGATAAAGCTGCAATAGTTGCAGTGGTACCCTCTGCAAACAAGCATCATGTTCACAAAACGTACATTTATTCATTTCATTTATTTATTTATTTTGGTAAAGTTTTCAATATCCTCTTTGTAGGTGTAACTTTATCACTCTTGGGAGCAAAAACATACAAGTTGAATCTTTATGCGAATACAGTTAATGGATTTAAAGGACCACTCTAGCAATCTGACCACCACAGCTCGTTCTACTGGTTAGGTTATCCTTAGTCCCCTGGTGTAACCAAGTTTGATATCAAACCTATTACACTTTACTAGTTTAGCCCAGCACACTCAATATTCAATGTTCTGGCTGGAGGAAATTGACAATGTAGAACTGTTCATTCCACATTATTAGTGAGACCAAGATAGGGGAACGTACTGGTTAGTTTGTTTAGAGTGCTGCTTTGAAGGGACATTGGTACTCTGAAAGGACTCTGGGTACTAGTATAACCTAATCATACTTACCAAAATTTCCTGCCAACCTTCGGAGGTGGGCAGGAGAGAGAGCATAAGTCCAGACTCCAGAGGGCTTCCTGGAGGCAAAAGAGGCAGATCCACCTGCCAAAGGAGCGTGCCAATCTGGCAAAGACTAACAAGTTGCTGTCTCCAGCAGACTTTGCATGGAGCACTACTAAATACTACGTGTATGCTCCTAGTGCTCACTCCCCTCCTGCATTTTGAAAATGGTAGTCAGATTTAAAAATGTGGCCCAGGACCTACATTTTCAGGGTCAGTAACCCAAAATGATTGGTTGTCCTAGCAAAATCAGGGCTGTGGGCACCTATGCCTTGATGTTTTTAATATATGAGTTTAATGTTTTGGTCTCATTAATGAGGCTCTGTCATCTAAAAGTATTTACACTTACCAGAAGCTCTCCCTCAAGGGCACACCAAGAGTACAGCACAGAGATATTCTACAAGACTAAATTGTGTGATTATGGCTACCAAAAGGCGTCACAAGTGGCTGCCATAGGGTGCCACCAGCCCGGGGGGCGCAGGATCTGTTTGACCGACAGGAGGAGAGCACACAGCACAGCTTTCCCCCCCAGCCAGTCACTGCATGGAGTGTGGCCAACCCATGGATCACAGTAGAGGATCTTCTGTATCCTTTACCTAGTCTGACAGAAAGTGCGAACAGAGAGCACTGGACTGCTTCCTGTCAGACCAGGTACAGGATACAGAAGATCCCCTACCGCAGTCCGCGGTTCGGCCATGCTAGGGAAAAAATGGGGGGACAATATATACTAAAGGGGAGTGTAAGACAAAAGGGGCATAAGATATACTAAAGGGGATAAGGCATTCAAAAGAAAGGCTAAGAAACACAAAAGGGACTGTATGAGTCACTGTGTGTATGTATGGGTCATTGTGTGTATGTATGGGTCATTGTGTGTATGTATGGGTTACTGTGTGTATGTATGGGTCATTGTGTGTATGTATGGGTTACTGTGTGTGTGTAGGGTGGGGGAGGAGAGAGTCACTGATTGTGTGTGTATGGGTCATTGAGTGTGTGTGTGTGTGTGTGTGAGTGCTGGACACAGTGGCATGTGCTTAATCCTGCACTGAAGGTGAGACTGTAGAAGTCACTTTGTGTATGGGTATGTATGAGTCAGTGTGTGGGTGTATTGGTCACTACTGTGTGCGCATGAATGTGTGTGTGTGTATGAGTTGCTGTGTGTGTGTACGGGTCACTGTGTGTGTATATGATTCACTGTGTGTGTCTATGAGTCACTATGTGTGTGGGTCACTGTGTGTGTATGGGTCACTGAGTGTATGTATGGGCCATTGTGTGTGTGTGTGTATTTATGTCAGCATATTTGTGTCTGTGTGTGGCAATGTGCATGTGTGAGGCAGTGTATGTGTATATGTCCATACATCCAAGCATTCAAACACCAACACAATACGCAAATACACCAAATGCCAACACTACACACAAATGCACAACTGCATGCAAATGCAAATACTACAAACACACCACTACATTCACATGGCAACAGTACATACAAATACACTACGATATTCAAAAACGCACATACTACATGTAAAAACATGTTTACATTCAAGAACACATACACTGCTCACAAATACAAAATGTAGATCTCGTTAAGGACCTACCTTTTAGCCATCCTTGCACTAGAGGGTGGGGGATAAATGTCTTACTCCAGGGTCCTTTCTACATTAGTTCAACCACTAAATGATATCCTTACCATGTGTCTGAATGAGTGTCTTTTCCTTCTGAAGGATACTAGGCTTACAGCAGTTCAGCCCACTCACTCCTGTCAGTGGCTGATTTACGCATCAACACTAATTTGGAAAAAAGGGTTTCTTTTTGGGACAAATTACAAAGAGCTGAGCAGGCAGAAAAAATTTCAGCATGCTAATGAGTGCAAAACACATCAGAGGCATTAGCGTTTTGCTGGTAGCCTCGGGTTAAAGGGACACTAATGGCACCCAGCCCACTTCATCTCATTGAAGTTGTGTGGTAGCAGGACCACTATAGGCACCTAGACCACTTCAGCTCAATGAAGTGGTCTGGGTGCCAGATCCATCTAGGGTTAACCCTGCAACTGTTTCAGAGAAACTACCATGTTTTACAATAGGGTTAATCCAGCCTCTAGTGGCTGTCTCATTGACAGCTGCTAGAGGCACTTCCGCGCTTCTCACTGTGAAAATCACAGTGAAAAGACGCTGATATCCATAGGAAAGCATTTAGAAATGCTTTCCTATGGACTGATTGAATGAGTGCGTGGCTCTTGCCTCGCATGCTCATTCAGCGCTGACGTCTGAAAAGGGAGAAGATTTCCCCAGCGCCGAGGGAGCCTGGGGCTGGAGAAAGGTAAGCGATTAACCCCTTCCTCCCCCTTCAGCCCGGCGGGAGTTTGTTTTCCTGGCACTATAGTGGTCCTTTAACCCTGCAATGAAAAACATTACAGTTCAGAGAAATGTTTACATTGCAGGATTAAGACAGCCTCTAGTGGTTGCCGGCTTTTCACAGAAACGACGTTGTATGTTGGCCGTCAAAATCCCCACAGGAAAGGATTGAACACTATAACGTTAGGAATACAGTTTTGTATTCCTAACACTATAATATAAATTTAAGGATCACTGATGTTACAGACAGGTCATGATATAGATCAGGCATCCCCAAATCCAGCCCTCCAGATGTTGCTGAACTACAACTCCCATGATTCTCAGCCTATCTATTTTATTCATAGAATCATGGGACTTGTAGTTCAGCAACATCTGGAGGGCCGGAGTTTGGGGAAGCCTGATATAGATAGTAGTCTACTTCCTAGTTCTTAAGGGGTTAACATTGCAAACAGCTAAACATCACATGTGACTCAACAATTCTTGTTTAAACTGAGACAAACTAGCTGCAGAGCAGTTTTTTAGTTTTTTTTTAATGCACATAGTTTAATGTTTAAAAACAATTGATGTATGATTGTAGGTCATGGGACTGGAGCTTCCCATATCAATTATTGTGGTTATGAGATAATATATCATTGCACACATAGCAAAGAAGGGTTTAAGCTAGTTCTCAGTGCAATGTATGGTTATTAAAAGGAACTCTATAACTCTATATGGAATTGGAAACAATGCCCACCCCCCAATTTTAACCCTGAAACTGGAATCATTGCCGTTGTGAAGGAACAACAAAGCTTTCATTGCAGGGTTAACCTGACTCAAGTGGCTGCAATACTAACAGCTATTGAGGGTTCTTGCTGAGTTAGTGGAGTAAAAAACTCCTCTATTTCTATCAGTCTCAAAGAGACCATCTGATTGGTGCAATGCATCGGTTTTACCGAGTGAGTGCACACTAGCCTTTTCCTTAAGGAAAGCATTGGATTGGATGAGATCATCAGTCTCGATGATCTCAGTCGAAGAGGCAGAGCTAAACACCGTAGATCCAGGGCCTTACCTTCCAAGGGGCTAACAAGGCATTTGCCTGGGGCGGCACATTCAGGGGGGCAGCAAAAATCACCATCATTCTCCAAGTACCCTGGCACATATTTAGTTAGCCTTTTTAATGGGGGATCCAAGAGCTAGCCGACTGGGAAAGTCAGAGCCCCCCGGTGGCAGCTAATATTACGGGTGGGTGGTGAGGGGAGCCATCCTCTGAGCTCTTCCTGCTCAGCTCCCTTGCATGCCCTGCTGTGATGCTGGTGCCGGAATATGACGTCACTCCAGCTCCTGGGATCATTAAGCGACGGGCGAGTTAGCTGAGCAGTAAGATTACAGCTTCCGCACCGCTTCTATTGACCGGTCGCCCCCCTACCCACCAAAGAGCATAGGAGCCTAGCAGCCTAGGAGCCTGCACAACCACCCAACCAACCCAGCACCTATACTGGACCCAAGTGACATCAACTTTACTGGACCCCCAGGTAAAGAAACCACTCCAGCTCTCCCAAAGGAATTAAAAAAAAAAGAAAAAAAAAAATATATATATATATATGTGTAAGGCAATGTATGTGAATCTGAGTCTGTCAATATCAGGCTGTGTGTCTGTTAGTGAGTGTGAGTCTGCTGGTGTATGTCTGTGAGTGTGTGAGTGAATGAGTGAGTGAGTGTGTCAGTATATGCCTGTAAGTGAGTGTCTGTCAGTGCATGACTAAGAGTGAGTGAATGTGTGCCAATGTATGTTGGTGAGTAAGTATGTGTGACTGTCAGTGAATGCGTGCCTGTCTGTCAGTGTGTGTCTGACAGTGTATTTCAGTGAGTATGTGTGTTGGTCAGTGTATATCTGTGAGTATGTATGTATGTCAGTGAATGTGTGTGTGTGTGTGTGTGTGTCAGTGTATGTCTTTGAGTGAGTGTGTGAATGTGTGTATGTCTGTCTGTCAGTGTGTGTCTGTTAGTGTATGTCTGAGAGTGTCAGTGTATGTCAGTGAGCGTGTGTGTGTCGGTCAGTGTATGTCTGTGAGTATGTATGTCTGTCTGTCATTGAATGTGTCTCTTAGTGTGTGTTACAGTGTATACCTGTTAGTGTGTGTGTCTGTCAGTGAATGTGTGTGTGTCTGTCAGTGTGTGTCTGTGAGTGTGTGTGTCAGTCAGTGTATGTCTGTGAGTATGTGTGTCTGTCAGCTTAACGTGTGTATGCCTGTCAGTGTATGTCTGTGAGTGAGTGAGGGAGTGTGTCTGTTAGTGTGTGTGTGTGTCAGTGTATGTAGGTAGTAGGATCAGGGAGCAGCGCCTGTGAAGGAATTCCCACGCTCAGAGCGATATGGAGAAGGGAAGGAAAAAGACACGGATACAGTGTAGTATATTGAGATCTTAAGTGATGGTAAATGAAGGGAAAGGAATTGCACTTAACTTTTCTGGGGCCTATACTCAGCTCCAGATATGTGCGCCTGGACGGTACAATCCCCGCCTATGGATATGTAGATGGTCCTTGGATGTCCTCAAAAAGGAGGTCTCCAGTGGTGGTAGGGTATATCTCCTTTCCAATGGCAGTAGGCTGTTATTCAAATAATTGGTGATATATAAAAAGGATAAAAACACAAAATAATGAAGGTATACTCACAAGTGAAGAGCAAATAGGATATTGCTCAATATATGCAAGCGTAGGTGGTATGATCCCCACCAAGGATATCACTCCTCGAGTCCTCCAGTGGGGGTGTTGGAGAGAGTAAAAGGAATTATATTATAAAATAAAATAGAATAAAAAGGATATTGGAGGCTCCAATAGCATAAATGAGCTATCTTTGTTGGAGATAAAAAAAATTGTAACATAAAAACAGCTTTAAAAAACACTAACGCGTTTCTCCTGCAAAGAGGCTTTATCAAAGTGTCAGTGTATGTCTTTGAGTGAGTGTGTCTGTTAGTGAATGTCTGTCAGTGAATGTGTGTGTCTGTCAGTGAGAGCGTGTGTGTGTCTGTCAGTGAGAGCGTGTGTCTGTCAGTGTGTTTTTGAGTGATTATGTGTGTCTGTCAGAGTGTCAAATCAGTGAGGACGTGTGTTTCAAATCAGTGAGTATGCATGTATGTCAGTGTATGTGTATCAAAGAGTGTGTATCTGTCACTGAGTGGTGTCAATCAGTCTAAGTGTGTGTTGGTCATAAACAAGAAGTGGTGTGGTCTTGACCAAGAATGGGTAGGGACAATTTAGATTAGGGGGGTGCCCAAATGCTGTGCAGAAGATATGGTGGTAAGTGGATCTCACTGGCAGCAGGGGTCCAGTCACCTAGGCCACAGTAGTGTTAGGAATACACATTTATATACCTAACTCTATAGTGTTCCTTTAAGATATTCTTCCCAGACTAGACAAGTTGAGGGATACTACACATGTTTCCTAAGGCAAACTAGTTGTAGCTCAGACCACTTGGTCCATGCAGTTATGGTGGACATACTAAAATTTCCCAGGTATACTAGACATTAGACAGTTCTGTCTTAAGTAAATGTGAATGTATGAGCACATCCTGCCTATTTTACCTGCCCCCAACTACTTTACACCTATACCCAGCTAAAGAAAAACGATTATATTAAATTTGTGATAGCCAAGCAATGCCTGATGTGTGCAATATGAATGCAGCCCTTCGAGAATGTGCAATTATTATATATGATTATAAGCAATTACCATCTCTGGTGCTAAAATAATATTTTAAAAGTTTCTTTTAAACTTTGTCTGTATTCCCAAATTAAACATTTTCTCCACAAATACCAACTTTCCCTTAAACGTTGACGTTCACTGGCATCCAGTGCTTTTGTTCTAATCTCTACCACTACAAACTTTTACCCATCCTCTGATTTTACTGGCATAATAGGAGTTAAAGCAGACAGCCATCCTTTGTCCTTGATTAGTGAAAATGTAGGGACAATGTCTCATCAGGGTCCTTACCTGGAATTTATAGAACATTGTTAGGTTTAACCACTTCTTTCAGCACCGGTGCTTAGCGTGGTTTTATGCGCATGTACAGTTTAGGTTCAATTGTATTATTTTAAAAGTAACTCAAACTTTGGTGGCCAAGAGGTCCTATGCTCACCCCTGACCTTCATGCTATTCATTGTGTTTTGCAAAACAAGGTACAGCATTATTTCATATAACCTTTAAAAATACATAAAACATAAAGCATGGTATAAATGTTGAAGACGTACCCTGTTTCCGAATTATGACATGGTTCGAAACATTGTTGGCCTTTGGGATACCCAACAGAATGTATCTGCCTTCTCTTGTTCATACAACCCTTTTCATAGTCACTCTCCAAGTTGCTTTTAGCAAGAGGATTTGGGTTTGCATCAAAGACCTCCCGGTCCGTCTGATAACCATTCAATGTCACATTGTTGCCAGACCTGTTTTCTGTCGCCTCAACTTGGCATCCGTCACTCCTGGTCTGATACGTAGAAAGTGAGTTTTTAGACACTCTGTATCCATGAGACACTAAGAGATCTTCCACACTGAACATGCTGTGCTCGCCGTGCTAGCAGCTACGCCACGGAACGCTGTTCTTTAAAAGGATCTTTCATCACTAAAAAAAAGCAAAGTACAATAAATATAATCCAGTGCTTGTAACATGCTGGCCTATGAACCTTGAATTTTACATCCCTCTCTTTTGCTGAATACTTTTTTTTTTTTCAGTTACCTAATTTTAAATTATATGCAGATGCTTTGATGAGTAATGTAAACATCCTTGCCAAGATAACAATGCTGTATGTTCAGCCAGAGCAATGATGGGATTAGGCTGCTTACTCTGCATATTTGAGAAGGTGCCTTAGGATCAGGAAACTGTTAAGGAAATGGCAAATGTCTAAATTACTCAATAAAAGCATAGTGTGCGATAAAAGAACGCTACAATGCAAGATATTAATCATGAACATTTTCACAACAGCAAAAAAACAAACAAACAAAACCCAACATACAGTTTTACAGGGATCCACCATGTTGATATACAAGCCGCTTAATGGATTTAGCAGCCATTTTGAAATGTCATCACATGCATTCACACTTATCAAGTTAAACCTACAGCTCTCTGAAAGGGCAGCGAGTGTCAATGACCTGGGAGAGGCGATAGCGGAAAAATACTGAATGGCTGAGAGACCAAGATGTATTTATAAATTAATATATATATGCATACACTGTATATGTGTGTTTGTATGTGTGTAAATTGTATCGAGGAGAAATGTATCTATATACACAGGCTTAACACTAACATATAAAATAGCCTAACACAGCTTACTTGGAGGATTTTTCTAATTCAACTATTTTGGCCTTAACCCCTTAATGACACCTGACATGTGTGACATGTCATGATTCCCTTTTATTCCAAAAGTTTGGTCCTTAAGGGGTTAAAGGTGATTTTTTTCTTGAATTACTGACATTTTATGCTGTAGTAATAACCCTGTGTAAATAGTGGGATGTCTATTTTAAACATATATCCTAGGTTTATTGAATGCTATTTAAGTACATTTTTTAAATCAGAAGCAAGCTCATTGACAATGTACCATCAATGCTTATCTGTAGCTGGTCTTAATGCATTCCATATAGATTAGAAAACCAAGACATCGACATGTCAGGAGGAGAATATAAAAATAAACTGAAAAGGGCCACTAGGGGCAGGGAGATGTCTTGTATGCACCGGAACAAAATATGACACAAAGTGTCAAGGGATATGCAGTACAGAATGCTATAAAATGCTTTATAGAGAAGTAACAGTAACAAATCAAGATGTTTTTTTCAATTGAAAAATCTTACTTTTTTGATAACAGAACGAGGCAAACTGTTTTGCTATCTAAGTGGGGTAAAAGCAGCAGTTCCTTCTGCAAATACACTGTTTTACACTCACTAATAGCAGACAGCCAATCATCCAGAGTAGCCAATCACAATGAATAGATTGTGAGCAAGTCAGAGGCAGCTGTCTGTGGTGGGCCAAAGCACCATGGGGTGAGGGAAGCTATGTATTAACATGATTTGGTTAAGTGACCCTAATTCAATTCGCCTAGCAATTCCATACAAAAATATTTACTTATTTCAGGGAACTGTGACTGCAATAAAGATGCATTAAACTAATGCATCTCTGTGATAAGCTGCTGATTGGTAGAGCACTGCAATTGCCACAAATGAGGAGTCCCCAATGTGCTTCCCCGTGGTGAATCACTGGATTAGCTCAGATCATCACTGATCATCTCGGCTGGAAGCGGAGCAGTGGCCACAGTATGTCCAGGGCAGTGAGGGCTAAAAAGTAACTAAACCAATATTATTTTAAAGGGCTACTATAGGCATCAAGACAACTTTTAACTTAATTAAGCAGTTTTGGTGTATAGATCATGCCTCTGCAGTCTCGCTGTTCAATTTTCTACCATTTAGGATTGAAATCACTTTGTTTATACAGCCCTTGTCACATATTCCTACATGTAACATGCACAGCCTTCCTAAACACTTCCTGTAAAGAGTCAGCTAATGTTTATACTTCCTTTATTGCAAATTCTGTTTAATTTTCAATTCTTATCTTCTGCATTGTTAATAGCTTGCTAGACCCTGCAGTAGTCTCCTGTATGGAGTTAACGTTGAAATCACAGAGCAGAAGATAAAAACTTTTAAAGTAAGTTACATCTGATTGAAAATGAAACCATTTTTTTCATGCAGGCTATGTGAGTCACAGTCAGAGGGGGTGTGGCTAGAGCTGCATGAACAGAAACAAAAGTGATTTAACTCCTAAATGGCAGAGAATTGTGCATTGAGACTTCAGAAGCATGATCTATACACAAAAACTGCTTCATTAAGCTAAAGTTGTTTTGGTGACTATAATGTCCCTCTAACTTCCTTTAGATGTTTTTAGCTCCTGCCCAGCAAATTGAACTTAAATGGCACACAGGAGGATCCTGCAGGGACTAGAAGGTTATTAGCAGAGCAGGAGATAGGAAATTGACTGTGCAAGTTACATGCAGGAAGGTGTGACCAGAGCTGCATAAACAAAGTGATTTAACTGTTAAATGGCAGAGAATTGAGTAGTGAGACTGCAGGGGCATGTTCTATACACCAAAGCTACTTCATTAAGCTAAAAATGTGTTACTACAGTGTCCATAACTATTAAGGAGGCATCTCTAACTTTATAAATACAAGTTATTATTTTTTTATTACCAATATTAGAGTGTTCCATTAAAGGAACTCTCAAAGTACCATAGCCACTACATAATGCTTTATTGAAGATATATATCTGAACAATACTGCTTATTAAATATTAAGAAATATGAGCTTTCTTTAACAATACTCTTTCATTTTCACGAACTCCAAGTAAGCCTTACATATTTACCTAACGCTTCACAAGGAAGAGACCCCCCACTTAGAACTAGGTGGGCACATGGGATCTAAATCTCTCTTTAAGCATTACTTTGACCATCTAACAAGCCAAAAACTCTCCATAAATGTCTGTGGCAGTATTTTTTATGTTTGAAGTTAATCCTTTAGTTTGCAGCAAGCTTACTGTTGAACTACCTCCAGAACAAAAAAAGACAATTCTTTGGAACCTCACAGTACAAAACCTCTTATAAAGATACCTACGTAAAACGTTTGAGCTCACTGCACTAAAGTACTTGAGATAAGTGCTGCGAAATACTTGGGCAGAAGAGACTAAATTATACCTTTTTCTCACCCTGATAAAAAAAACAAATAGCTATCACCCTTCAATCGTCTCTGACATATAAGAAATCAGAGTGCCGTGTTTGAGTTTACCATATGAAGTTCTAATCTTACACTGCAAATATCACATAGGTCAGGCACCAAAGGGTTAATGGTAATATTACTATCTGGTTTTGGGAAACGGAAAGTGTTTATTATTTATTTTTTGAAGTTACGTCATCTAGCAAGACGGCTTAAAGCAAGCATTGCAAGCTTGCGGCCCATGTGAGCCGTGAGTGTGACATGTTAAGGCCGGGTAAATTTTAGCAGAGTAGGCACCTGCAATGTGGGGAATGCAGGTGCCTACTCTGCTAAACTTTACCCGGCCGGGAGGAGAGGAAGCAGGCGGCAGCGAGCGCAATCTGTTCTTCTTGCTCCTCACTGCTCCCTTGTGCGCGCCCTCTGTAATGATGCCGGGTGCCGGAATATGACGTCATTCCGTCCCGGCATCACTAAACTGCGCGCGTGAGGGAGCAGTGAGGAGCAGGAAGGGAGAGGCCCCACACCAGCTCCCAAAGGTAGGGAGCAATAAATAAAATGATTTGTGTGTGCCAGAATGTGTGTGTCTGTCAGTGAGTGTGTATGTGTGTGTGTCTGTCAGTGAGTGTGTCTGTTAATGAGTGTGTCTGTTAATGAGTGTGTGTGTCAGTGTATGTGTTAAACTTACCTTTTCTCCATCACCGCACCAGCTTCACCATTGCGGGTCCCTCCTCCATGGCTGAGATTATCAATCTTGATGATCTCAGCCAATCCAATGCTTTCCTATGGGTTATTGAACGTGCGTAACAAAATGCCTCTCTATGGAGATGTTGAACATTGGTGAGGCACACAGTGCAACACTTAACTAGGGAGAACCTCTAGTGACCGTCTGAGGCTGAGCTTACAATGAAAAGCCTGCAGGGGCAGGCTATAGACACCAGAACAACTATGTTAAACTCTAGTGGTTCTGGTGACTATAGTGTCCCTTTAAACTGTGTGTAGCACTACTCAGTTGGACAAAATGGCATCTTTAAAGTCTTATGACCAAATCTTTCCATACTAAATCAAGGATGGTGCATGGATCTATTACCTCCATAAGAAAGAATAAAAATAAATGTTGGATATAAGGAACCTGTTTCCCTGGGTAAGTCTTTGTTAAAATGCCGGTGACATCACTCATCTAATACATGTTGCTTCCTGAGGATGCAGACAAGCGCATTCATTTCCACTCTGGCAATCCACAGAGAACCCACAAAATTGTTAAGGCAGCTGCAGTGCTTGGCAACCATTATATTTAAAGAATAACAAGGCACTCTTGACACCATACCCACTAACCTCGTGCTGTTTATAGCTAGCAAAGATTGTGAACTTTAATAACATTGTCTAAAAAGGAGTCTACTTTATGGTAACAAAAAATGTGTCAGTCTGTAACAAAATAATAAATAAATAAACAATTCCTGAAACCCCCAACAAACATTATTACAACTATATGTATAGGTGTATGTACAACTAATATATATATATATATATATATATATATATATATATATGTATCTGCTCGCGTCTTTCTATCTGTACACAGTCTCGGAGATTTACCATGGTTATTTTGTGACTTTCCAGTCATTTTTTACAAAACAGGTGGGTTAGAGCATTGGCAATTTGCCTAGAGATTTCCATCCAACCATCAAGTAAACCGTTTATAGAGTGAAAAGGTAAATTTAATATCCTAAATCTTTTCTTTGCTGTAAAAAAAAAAAAAAAAAAAATCACAAAATTCTTAATTAAGCTTTATTTAAATCTTTTCCATCTCAG